AGTAAAGTTGGCATGATTTAATAAAAATCATATCACTAAAATAAATATTCGTCATTTCATTCGCATGACGTATCAAATTCAGTTTTAGCCGGACAAAAAGTCAAATATTTCATCACCCAACTAAGCGGGCATCATAAATATATTTTATATAAAAGTTTATGCATTCATAAATAAAATACTCATTATTTCTGTTCAGCCATTTACTTTGAGTACATAATCAATACGGAGATTTTATGGTTATTTAGTCATTTATAGAAACCATTAAATGACAATTAATCTAATGTTATTGAGCATAAAATTAAAGATAATTGCACGGACTTTAATTTTATATTATAACCAAACAATATCTTTTGAAAATAAAAGTTTTTTTTTTCTTTTAATTAAACCATGAACAAAAATCACATAAAAGATCTCCAAAAAAAAATATTTATGTGTTACTAAACATATTGTTTATATTATTTAATAATTACTTTTATCAGTTGCTATAATTAGAGTATTTGAGATTAAATATACATTTATCAATTACGTCGATAGTACGGAGTACCATCACTGACGATCGAGTCATATTAGTATGTCAATGTGACTTTTCGTAACAATGTGTAAATTAAATAATGGTACGATTGTCGAAATTTCAAAACGTTCTGAAAGTGAATTAAGCTAATTTTCTGTGATTTCCAAGAACGTTATCTTCGGTTTTATAAATATATAAATAAAAAATGTTAATAACAATTGTAAATTTAATCATGATGATCTGGAACAGATTGTGTATGTATTATATAATAAAAGAAAAAAAATTATGAAGATAAACGTAAAAAAATTTGGTGGATTTTGTACAAAAATAAATATAAAATGGAAAGTCTCGAATAGCACTTTTAATGTTTTAAATAAAAAATATAATTGACTGGGATTTTAGTCTTACCAGTACATTGGTAAGACATAATATTTAAAAAAAAATTGTAAACATTAATGACATCCTAAAAATCTGGTTAAGAGAAAAATTATCCGTCTAGAATTTAACTTGTGTGACGCCACGGTTATTTATCGTTTGGTTATCAGGGATCACGTTTGAGTACGTGCGAATAATTTCGTTTTTTGTGAACAAAATTAGTAAATAATAACACGAGTGGTACTTCGAGTATCATATCTAAATATTGCAGTACGTGTAAACCCAGGTTATTAAGTGTTATTAAACTTTTATTCATCATATTATTTTTAGTCCTGTATAATGTTATCGTTATTTTCAAACGTACCTAAATTCAAAACTTAGTGAACCCGTTCACGTAAAAACGATGAAAATCGAACGGACGGACGATGAGTTTTAAATTTCAAAAATTTTATATCATCAAAGAACTTATTATTCTGCACGTATTTCTATATTTTTTCGATAAGAAACTATTACTGAATTCAATTTGTCGATAAGTCCAAAAAAAAAGAAAAAAAGAGTTAACCAGTGAGAAAATATTCCTGCAAATGCTACGAGTTAACGGATTTGTATTTTTTTTTTTTTCTATTTACAGTCCGCAGGAGCTACATTTATACACACGAGGCGTAATATCGCATACAACGAGGACGGAAGTTTGTTTTGTTTTTTTTTTTTTTTTTTTTTTTGTACGCTATCGGTGAGCGCTTTTTGCCCCCGAATCGCCTCTAGACCGCACACTGCTGCAGTGCACCAACACCGCCCCGCCACGCCTCACCGTCCGAGAGGTCTGGGTCTGAATATTTATTATATGAATTTCGGAGACCCCCCGAGTGTTGATGTCGGTTTTTTCATTCCCCCGAACCCCCAACCACCGATCCGAGTATCCGTAATGCCGCTACTGTTGCCGCCGCTACACTACACCCTTTAAATTGCCCGACCGGGTTGTCCCTGACGCGGCCGAAACGCCATAAAACGCACGTTGGCAAAACACACCGCCGACGACGGTATTATATTATAATAATATTATAATGTTCGCGCCGAAACGGTCCCCGAAAATATTACGATTATTATCATTATTATTATTGTTATTGCAAAAAAGAGAATATCGAACTAAAACAGAAGACGAGGAAGTTGTATACGTGCAGTTATGTCAAAAGCCAAATTTTAACGATGTTGCGCATTCGAATTTATAAAAACCTTTGACTTTCTATGTTTTCCGGATAATTTTGAAAATTGAATTTTCAAACATTTTCTATACCCAGACATAAAAACACACAGAAGTAGCAAAAATCCATCTTAAGACCCTCGCCTATTTTTTCAGTATACAACTTTGCAAGACAATAAATAATCGAATACTATAATAATATAACACACGCACTGTACTAAATCACAATAAATTTTACTTCCAAGGATGGAAGTTAAAAATTGGAACACTCATAAGATACATCATTTATACGAACGCCATGGATATACGAAATTGTGTCGCCTTAACTTCATTTTAGGGATATGTATGGATGTATAAAGGTAAAAACTATCTTCCTCCTGCTACGACATGTTGAAATGTATACAGAAATTCGACCAAAAAATTGTATTACTTTAATCCACAAACAACTTAAGTTTGAGCTCATTTATTGTATATGGAGTTACTAAAAAAGTCTAAGGGTATCTAAATTCTAAAGTATAAAAACATATATGCATATAACAGACACACAATACTGTGCGATTGCCTCTATTTTCGTATTACGTAAAATACTTAAGAGTATAAAATAAAAAATAATTTTCAATATTGAATAATTTTGTTTCTGGTAACAAGGTAAATTTTTATGACACACAAACTTTTACACTCAAAACTCAGTTTCCATTCGATGTATTAAATTTTAGAAATTCTATTCAAAATCAAATCACCAATTCAATCACCATGTTAATGATTTCCCCGACTGTTTTAAAATACTCTGACTTTTTCAGGTTTTCCAGAATTTTAACAACCATGGTTAAAGAATTTATCTAAAAGTAAAAAGTGGAATTTGTATTAGTCTTAACATGATGAAACGATGAGAGTATATGCAAACTGGCGATGACAAAAAAAGCCTAACCTGGAAGCCGCTGCCTAGCAAAAGTGGATGGATTCGCTGAAGACTGACATTAAAAATATGAGTGAGGAACGAAAATATGGATGAGAATAAAGAATTGAGAAATGTGGCGTAAAGTATAGAAAGCAACGAGGCATCTAAATGGATTATAAAGACTACAGAAAAAGAAGAATATTATTAGTCCGTATTTTTCATCCGGCGCGTTGGATAGGCAATTTTGATACGCTCACGCGCTGAGGGTCCGCAACGTCAGTATAAAGGTATATTTACCGAAATTTAAATTTCAAACCCGTATAAAAAAATGTTTTCTGATAAATTCATCTTACGACGAATCTATTTTTGAGCGCTTATACAATTATAGAAAATCAAAATAAATGGATACATTAAAAATTTGAAAACTTCAAATAATATTAATACAAAATATCTGGATATTTGTATACTTCAAGATAATACATTTTGACGTAAGTAGACGATACGTTACGATAATCTTTTACTGAATTAAATTCAAAGGCCTATAATAAATAAACGTACTATTCTTCAGCCCCTCCCATCATCGAATTTCTAATGTTTTTTCTTTTTTTTTTTTATCGGTCATTTACTGCTTATTTTGTACGACAAACTCCACAATTTGTGCAGCTATAGTTCCAAAGGAATTTGCGAAAAACTTGGAGGGGTAAGATCTGGAGAAATGTTTCGAAATGAATAGAAACCGACGTTACATGTAAACATATTAATATAAATTTGTCAGTTTTATCTCAATTTTAAAAAAACTACAAATAAAATCAAAAAATAACCTCCTTGATGCCTTAACTAGACTAAATTTACTTTCAGGAAAGTTACTACACTTAAAAATAGAATCAATAATCTAACGATATAGCTCTGATGCTAACGGGTGTTTTTTTTTTTTTTATCGAGATAATGAAAATAATTTTTTTTTTTTTCGTATACAAGGTACAAAAACGTTTACGTATTAAAATATTGAACGAGTGGGTGTTATGACGCCTTCTATACTGAATTCCCGAATCCCACCAGTCCGGACGAATGTTCTTAATTACACCGTCGCGTGCATGTACGCGTTTGTGAATTTTAATTGATATCATTCCATCGCCGTCGTAATAACAATATCGTTGACAGTGGGGGTGCGCACCAGATGTCGACATTGTTATAATATATTCACGGGTAGCGACACAAACAAAAAAAAAAAACCAGTCTAACGGGCGTATAATCAAAATCAAGTGACCGTCGTAAAAAAAACCCCCGTCATCGAATTTGTGATAAAACATATACAGGGTGTCCCACGAAGATACAAATGTTGCAATATCTCCCGAAATAATAGTAATAATCAAATTCTTAATAAAAATAACTAAATTACTAAATACTACTAAACAAAAAAATTTGTAACACTAAATAATCCTAATATTAAAAACAATACTAGATAAAAATAATGATAATAATAAGTAATAATTCACTACTTACTATTTTTATCCAACGTGGGTGGAGAAGAACCTTTTCATCTGTGAGGCATTTTACGCGACGGCTTTCCTTAATTTTCCTATTGTTAATCAATCAATAGCTACTCCTTTTATTTTGGAACGTAGGTATAGATCTGTATGGATTGAGTCTTCAATACCTTCCAATCCGCGTTGCGAACATCATCTATATTATATAGTAGGTAAAGTTGATAAATTCTGATACTTTATATTGTATTTAAATTTACTACAATCTTTTTATAATGTAGGTAAATATTATTATTTTTTTTTTAATAATAATAAATAGTTTAATTTGAAATATCAAAAATGCTACATTAGATAAATATTAGTATACAATATTGTAGCACCCCCGATAAGCAGTGCTTGTGCTGGTAGAGCAGTTCTTAAAGTTATAAAGTAAAGCTACAATGCAAAAATAAATAAAGATACAATACAAATTAATTTTAAAATAGTATCAAGAGAGAATGTGACAAAATTTATAATATAATTTATAGTAATCTTAGTCTAATTAAATTAAATTAAATAGAAACTTTTTATTTTATTCTTTTCGGAAAATTTTAAAATAGCCATACGGTAAATATTATTTTTCTGAACATTCTAATGTATCACATATTTATAAACGGTGAATAGTTTCTTATTAAAAGCCATTTTAAATTCTACTACGGTGTGAAAACCGTTGTTATCGCCTAGATTATTCCCTAGATCCGATAATTGGTTTAATTTGGAGATCTCCTAACACATATAAAACACTGTCAACAATAATTTGAGGATTTTAAATTTTTAATAAAGAAATGCTTATGAGACACTGAACAAATTCTGTAAAATGGTTTTTTTCAATTGTATAAAAATATAAATTACATCATTTATACATTCGAGGTGGGTATCATGTTATTAAACTTAAATCCAACTATCATTAATACTATTTTTATACTAACTTTCCTCAAATCAATACCGAATGAAAAAAATATATAAAAATGAAATTATGTTTCCCCGTGATTATCCGTTTCCACCTAGTACCTATCATAGTTAATCGTTATTGCCTAGTAATTTTTTGGCGGTATTTTATTTGCCTGTGACAACAAAATTAGTTAATAATGACGGGTTTTTTTTTTTTCTTTCCTATCGCCAAGGTAACCCATAAATCAACAAAAATAATTAAGATTTTTTTATTACAAATGACAATTATCAAGTGTCAATCCCCCCCCCCCCTCCTCATTCAGGGCTTGAATATCGGGATAAAAAGTAGCTTTTATTATGTTATTCTTGATCTAAAAATAAATGTATACAAAGTTTCACTTACGTTCAGTTCAGTTCACTTCCTTTCAGCAGTATGGACAAAAGGTCATAATAACATACATAATCCATACATTCGATATGCTACCTATAGAATTCTTTTAAATTTAAACTTTTCTATTTCTCTAGACGCTCTCAGCTATCAATATCAATATAGCATCCTTAGTGATAGGCCATATAGAAAACTTGTGAAAAGGTGTAAATGTGCAAACTTGTAAAAATCAACACTCCAATATAGATATATGAAGTAATCACTATAGAGACGTGAGCTTGGTAAAATTCTCCGATGTTTTTTAATGTGTTTTCAATAAAGTAACGGATTAAATTATAAGTTAAATCAAAAAAAAAAAAAACGAAAAATTACGAAAAAAATAATAATAACAATAATAAAATAAAAACTTTCAAGTGCATAATACGAATAACGTATATCTAATCTAATGTATCTACTTATTTCCGGGCTCTACTGAATAATTTTATTACTATGTAAGAAATAAAATAGTTTGAATTTGATATCAATACCTTGGTTTGGTTATGCGATTATAACATTATAAGTTTAAACTAAAAATAACATAACATTACACCATTCAGATTATAATTTTCGTTTGACATTGAAAATTTATTCTAAAGTTCAATTGTAGTTTTATTTATAGTTTTTCATAGTACTTCAAAAATAGGTATTATTTTACAAGGAAAATCGGAATTATACTTAATCACTTAGTCGTAATTTAATTATCTTTTTCATTTATTCCTCGTGTTGATTTTATCAAATATAAATTTAAAATAATAAAATAAAAATATTGGACATTTATTTTATTTTCACCTCGTGAAATACTTTTTTTCAGAATAAAACAGAAAATATAATGTTCATGTACTTACATAAGCCAAAAGAGCAGGCCATATATTTTTGAGTAATTGTTGACGATTGATGGTCGAATAAAAAAAAACGTTTTAAAATGAAAAAATTATACGATTGAAAAATAAAAATCATATCGGATAAATAAACATTGTCGTAACCATAGATTTGGAAAGCGTTTTGTCGCATTACAATGTTTTACAAACAAATACTAAAGTCCGTTATAAATTGTATTATTTTATTGTTATTTTTGTTTATTTCGTTGTTTATACCCGTAACCAACGATAAACCGTTGCTGACGAAAAACGATTCGGAGCGAAGTTCGGTTATACATGTTTCGAAAGGTCGTAATATTTACGATTTTCGTTAAAATTTGGTTTTATAAAAAAAAAAAAAAAATACAACTTTACACTCGATTGTTTTTTTTTTTTTTTTTTTTTGTATTACCACTAAGTACGACTTATAATGAATCTACTGTTAAATGTTCAAGCATTTCTGTTTGGTCAAATAATTTTATCAACAGAGTACATTTCACAGAGTTCTCTCTACGTTTTTTTCGGTTTTACTAATTTATTAAAAACACACTTGGAAAATCAAAAAACCTAATTATTCACTCATCAACTAGACTAAAAGTTCAATAAAGCAGGTCTCTTGTTGTTTTTCTGTTGGAGCAATATTTTTGGTGGGAAACATATGCCGTAAAGACTTAAAATAAAGGAAACGTGCGTTGTAAATTTGTTCGTTTTTCATTTTTCGTTTTTTTCCGGTTTTCCTAGTTGTGAAAACTACTTGGATAATCCGCTATGATCTGAATCTAAAATATATTATATTTTTTTGTTACAACTTCAAAAAAAAAAATTGTTAAAAAACACGAAGTTAATGAAAAAAAAGAGTTGAAACACCAACATTTTCAAAAGAAGAAACTCTACTAAATTACTTTCTTTAAATTTATCATAAATAATAAAATAAAAAGTATTCAAATATAAAATATGTTTTTAGTCCTCTTTCTCGTCAGTAATATATAAAAAACAAACGGAAATATTTCCAAGTTGGAAAGGTAGAGGGGAAGTTTAATGTATATCTGTATGCAACGTTTAACCATTGCTAACGAAAATATATTCTGAGCGGAATTCGGTTTTAAATGTTACATTTTTTCCCGGATTTACCAATCTATTAGGAAAACTACTGGAAAAATCAAAAAACGTCCTCATCAGAGTAACATGCCAAACAATCAGATTTCCTTTTAGAAAAAGTGCTACATTTATAAATCGGAGCAAAAAAAAAATATATCATTGTAAAACTAATCCATTCCTGACTCCGCTCAGAATCTAAAAAAGAAAAAAAAAACAGTATTTGATTATCTTTACTATCCCAGGAGATATCCCAACGGGTAAATCTTCATGGAACATCCTGTATAAATATTATATAATACTTTCACCCTCCGCAACAATATTTTATCGAAAATAACGCGTGCGAGTAACACATTTATTAGCATATATACCAAGTACATTTGTTATTGTGAAGTGTTTACCGTTTTGGGTTGACCGCGCGTTATCGATGTTATTGGATATTTCCCGAAAATATATCGTAAAATAGACCTCGTTTTTATGGGTACAAATACGTTCGGATTTAATAATAATACGTACCGTGAAAGAATCTGTTACAAACATTCCAGAGATATACATTTCTACGTTCCAATGGTACCATAAAAATGTTTGAGTTTCCGGATAGTTTCAGTAATGTTCTATAAAAACCGTAACTAAATCAAAACTAAAATAATTGTTTACTGTTATAAGAAATTCAAACGTTATGAGCGATTCAGTATTTGCCGTTATAAGAAATTTAAACTTTATTTAATTTATGCGTTTAAACATTACATAAATTTAATCTTATTCAATTTATGTCTTTAAACGTTACACAAGTTTAAATGTTTACATACATTTTTTTCTTTTAACGTTTAAACGTTTTAAACGTTGTTCTCCTTTAGCGGTTTAGATGTTTTTATTTTTTTTATTTACCTTTAAATGCTATGAAAAATCAAACATGTAGTATTTAATCATTATTAAATATTTGCATTTAAACATTGAATACAAAACAGTAGGTATTACAAACATTCAAATTTATGATTTATACTTACTCATTATATTATGTTATTCGAATCACTTATAATCAAACATTAATTAAATTTGAAGGTTGTGAAATATTTATTTATCTGTCTCGATAATTCCATGATCTTTATACCATTTTATAAAGTAACTCGACTCTGGTCAATCAGGATTATTTGTTATTCTTGGTCACTGGAATATTATCAATCTGCTTTCTAGGTTTTTAGTTTTTAGTAGTCTTCTGTTTTCATAGCCTATCACCAATGCTCTTTGCACGTGCAAAACATGATTTCAACATCTAAAAACTTCATGTACTTGATCATTTCATAACAGTGAATGTTAAATGTAGTGAAAATATTTTTAAAAAATAAGAAGTTAGAAAAATGAATTACTATTTGGATAACCGGGTTTTACTATTTTACTGTAGATAATTGAGTACATTAAATTTAACGCTAGGTAGATGTATTTAATATTATTGATTCCATAATACAGCCTGAGTGAAAAACATTGCCTTGTCTCGATCCTGTCTTACTTGACAATTATTTTGATATTCTGGCTCTCAAGTTCAGATACTACTGTTGTCAAACTTTCGGGTAATCGGGCCCTGCTTCCAACGGGTTACCCCATACGGTCATATAATATAATAATATTATACCGTGATTGCAAATAACATTTTTAAATGATTACCTTGGGTATTATAATACAACACAAATCCACAGACAACGGTACAATAGTATTTCAAGTGTCCAAACAAAATGGGATGAATTGTTGTGCATAACTTTAGTGAACGAACATCGCAAAACAATTATTGTTCGTATTATTCCGATACATATTTTATAAGTTCGTCCAAACGTCATCAGAGTTCTGTGTTGCTCGCCATTTGTATAACTGCGGCGCAGCGCATCACGCATCGATATTTATAATTTATAGACATAAAATAACGTATTGTTAAAACGTTCGAGTATTAATTCTGAAAACGTTATGTTATTATATTTATTTTGACTTGAAGATAAAAATATATAGGCGACACAATGGCTCTTTCCGAGATCACTTTGCGTTTGAATAACTACGGATAGTTCGTTAATATTATTATGCTGTATCTATCGACGATTTAACACAGATTTTCATTATGTAGAACATTATTGCAATACGAGCTATAAATCAAACGGATATTATTACATTTTTCGCTTATAAATATTTCGAAACATTCAATATTAATGAGCAGAGTTATACGGTTTATAATTTCGAACGTTCTAAAATGTAAAGTCGAGTGAGGTTGCGTTATTTCTTTTTAGATTCCGGTCACATAGCGAGGAATATATTGGTTTCATTATGATGCACAGTGCAGTCTTAAATGAAAACTTGTTAACATCATTAATTAATAACTCTTTTATTTTAGTTCAACGAAAATAATTCTCGTTATTCTGGAGACGGGGAATCCGAATGAAATAAGCGCCTTAATTAGGGAGGGGGAGTGCTCTTT